GTGGAGAGGAAATGTTTTGAGAATGATGAGGGCAAGGAATGTACAAATGCACTTTACACAATTGATGTATGCATGGATCATGATAAGAGTTGTATGAGCCCCTAATAAAATGATTAAAAAGAAATGAAAATTCCTCCATCCACAGAAGAGTGAGGGTTCATTGAACTCATAGACTCTTGAAGGACACTTTCCTCCAAGTGCTGGTGGTGCAGGCACTTTCACATACATTGTTTCATTTAATTCTCACGCAGCCTTGAGATGTGTAATGATGCCCAGTTACAGATGGGGAAGCAGAGACTCAAAGAGATGCTCAATAACTGGCTCATATTCACACAGCAAGTAGGTACCAGAGCTGCACTGGAATCCAAGCCTGAGTTCTCCTGATGCACCAAGCTGCTTTATAGAGCTACCTACTCCAGGCCCCCACCCCAGGCAGAGCGTCCCTGAGGGAGCTGGGTGCGTCACTGGGCCGAGATTTGGGGATTTCTCAGATCTGTAGATTTTGTTTGTTTGTTTGTTTTTTAAAGAAAGGGAGGGAAGAGATTCTCACAAAATGGAAGGCTCCTAACTTTTAGCCTATTGAGGGCAATAAAAAGAAGAACAAACACTATCTACCATCAGTACTATTTTATAAAAGAAAGGACACTTTTGCATCTAAAAATTACAATCAGCAACAAAATGGATTTGAAAATTAAATAAAGTAATCTTATGAGAATCGTACTAGTGTGTATCCTTCTTTTACTCAAATCACTGTGGCCAGATGAAATTCTTCTCTTTGGGAAACCATGACACTAGAGCCCTTGTGGCATAGTGGGCTATGAGTGGAGCTGTTAACCACCAGATCAGCAGTTCGAACCCACCAGGGGAAGGAAGATGAGGCTTTCTGCGTCGGTGCAGACTTACAGTCTCAGAAGCCCCCAGCAGCAGTTCTACTGTGCCCTACAGGGTCACCATGAGTCAGAATGGAATCGATGGCAGTGGGTTGAGCTTGTAGAGAAAACTTCTTAGGACTTTCATGTTTTCTCCTTTCTAGGGGTTTCCAACCTCAAGTCCCATCCTCCTAGAGACAAAAGTTTCCTTACCTCCCCAAACAGCTTGTCCTTCAAGAATTTCTTGTTCTAAGACAGCATTCTGAAAGATGCTTTGGGAATTCTTTCAGAAGAATAAAGAGTTCTTAGTTTCTGATATTTGTAGCTCCTGGTGCAGCAGCCTAACGTCAAAGCCTGGGCCACCAGCATCCTTTTCTCTGTGGGACAGTCACCTGCCCTGCCTCTGCTGGACCTCCTAGAGAGATCAGCATCCCAAAGAGGGTTAAGACAGGCTAACCTGTGGCCCTTGGGGAATGGAAGGGTGGTCTGGAAAGGAAAGAAACAGGAACTCACTGTGTGGGCTTAAGAAGGGAGGGCCTCTTAAGAGAACAACTGACTGCAGACATCTCTTGGGAGTGGGTGCCAAGCCCGAGGCAGGTAGGTGGCTTGGCTGTGATGTTAGCGCTGTCCCACCCCTCCTCCCCTTACCCGGGGCGGGGTCCCTCATGTGGCGAACAATCTGCACAACCTGATTTGCCAGGCCTGCTGGCAGCTTTTCCGTGCTTGCGGGCCATTCACATTCTCTCCTTTGAAGAAATGTCTGCTTAGATTTGTTTCCCGTGCTTGAAACCTAGCGAAGGTTTACAGAGCAGGTGAGTTTTCCACGCAACGATTCTATGCACGAGGCCACTTCCTCCCTGGCTCGCCGTTTCCTTTCTTCTTTCTTTCCTACCTGCAAAGGATGATGTGGTGTCGGGATCTGACCGAGAATTCTTCATAATTGCCATACAGACTCACAGACCATATTCAAGAGTATAGGTGTTATTAGGGAAGTTAACAGGCTACAATTTGGGATCCAGTGTGTTCAGGGAACAGTTTGTAGCCCGGGACAACCTCCTCTCTGTCATGCCCATGGGTAGGCCTCTCTCTGGCCTTTTGACCCTCGGCCTAGCCACTGTCTCAGGCAATATTCCAAAGTTCTTTTAGCACTACTGATAAATCTCCAATGGGCACTCCATTCTGCCTTAAACCTGAGCCCAAAGGCGGTCAGTCCTGGCTCTAAGGGCCAGCAATCCTAGCTGCCCCAAGCTGTATAAAAGCACTCAGCTTTCGCAGCTCTGTGGGCCCAGGAACCCGTCACTCCAACTCATGCTCTGCTGCTGCTGCTGCTGCTGCTGCTCTGCGCATCTCACATCTCCGTGGTCACAGCCTTCTGTCCCTGGATGGAGAAGGTTCACTGCACAAAGATCTTAGGTCCAAAAGACATGTTCTACGCACATATCCTCTTTCTGGGTGGTAGCAAAATTCCTTCTCCTGCTTCTGAGATGGATCATTTTCTACCAGCAGGTGGGCAAAGCTGATCAATTGTCACATTTGAGCTTCAAGCATTTATAGTCACTCAAAACTGAATCCCCCGAGAACAGTCAGACAGGGTGCAGTATAGCACCAAGAAAACATACAACTTTTCTCTAGTTCTTTAATGCTTCCTCCCCTCCGCCCCCCTCCCCCCGCCATCATGATCCCAATTCTACCTTACAAATCCGGCTAGACCAGAGGATGTACACTGGTACAGATAGGAACTGGAA